ACGTCAAAGTATAACGATGTTCGGATCAAAACTTCACGAAGAAATTCATAATTTTTGTGATCATCTTTTGAAAAACTATGAAATGCATCCAACTTGTGTTCATCGTTATCATCCAATCTTTTTACTAAAATTTTCAACATTTCTTTAAAATTTGTAGCTCTTGACCAAAATACAGGCAATGTGCAATCTATGCTTTGGAAGGAATCATTTAAATCCTTCAACAATTTAAGTATATCATATAGAGCATGAAATTTGTTTTCGATTTTATCATCACAAATGTTAAAATTATTTATATCAGCAATTGTAGAATATTTGCAATTTCTTTTTAAATAATCTTTAAAATCACATTCTTTGTGTTTAACAAATAAACAAATGTTTTTAAACTGACTGCATACACTTTTTATATTATCACAAATTGAAAGAAATCGTGTAAAAGCTACGGTATTTAATTTTTTAGACATGATGTTATGTTCATTTTTAAAATCCTCAAATTCTTTGACGTTAGTTGTCGAACACACAAACGTAACCGAATGGTACATTATGTTAAGTTCTGTCTTACGACAGACACATTCTCCAATCAATGCAGTTTTATGACAAAAACACCAATTTCCCACATTATATTTACTAATTATATCCACTCCTTGTAATTTAAATGATGCCATAAGCTTTTTAAATTCGAAAATCGAACGCTGCGCATTACTGGCCCCATCACACGTTTCGGCTACAATTTTTTGAAATGGGAATTTGGGATCTATTTCCAGTAAATTTTGAAATAACCATTAGGCAATGGCTATTGAATCCTCTTTTCCTGATAATACTTTAGTGAATATTGGAAACGTTTTAAAAACTTTTCCTATACACATTCGACAAATAACAACCATTTTATTTTCAGACTTTGAAGAACTATCATAAGAAAGTGCTAAACAATCACTTTGAAATATATCTTCTTTTAAAGACGATTTATTCATTAAATTAAATTAGTTTATTTTTCTAAAACTATTTCTTGAAGAAGTTACTAGTTTTGGTAAATATTTCAAAGCTTCTTTAGCAAATACACTCACAAAAACAAAAATGTCATTTTGTACACCATTTATTTGGCTTTGTGACAACCGCGTTTCTGTATTAATTGAAATAATAATAAATGTTGTTAGCCTTTTTCGTATCAACTCGTATCGTTTCCACTCCTTTTGAATATGATCACGACTTTCAAAATATTTAAACAAAAAATTAATAATAGCAGTGAAGTTGTTATCACAAAATAATTTATTGATAAAACAATACTCTTTAATTGATGATATCAAATTATACCACGGCCAATCTAGTATTGAAGTTTTTCGTATTTTATCAAATATTCCATCTTTAAAAATTTCAATTGGAATATCACAAACACCTTTTTTAAGTTTGGGATTATGAACAGGAACAGGAAATGAATCATTTAATGGGGTTTCATTGTTTATAGATTGTTCTATTAAATATTGAGAATGTTGGACTGGTGTAAATGAACTTTGACTATTATAATTGTTAATTTGTTCAGAAACTTCTGATGTTTGTGTGTTATTAACATCACTTATTTGTTTTTGATGTTGATCTATGGTTTCGTTATATAATAAACTTGAGCAATCTTCATTTGAAATTTGGTTATAAGTTGCGGTGGAACACTCAAAGTTTTTATATTCAAATGCTGTCTCCGAGTCGTTATGATCCATGGCCACAACATTTTTACTAATACGTGGTTTACTCTGATTAAATTCTATTATAGAATCAAGTTCGTCTATCTTTTCTTTTCTTTGTTCTTCGATCTCACATATAATAGAACGAATTAATTCCATATTTAAACCGCCATCAACAGGAGGTTGCTCTTTAAACCATTCAGTTGAAATGATATCTCTGCAATATAAAGGAAGTCTATTTTTGTTGCTGGGCAACAAAATGTACTCTACAAAAACTCTAACTATATCAATCTTATTTTGAGTTTTGACTTTCACTGTTATTGGATTGATGGTTGTTGGTGTGTTGAGTGATGAGTACAAAAAATATATAAATTCAGCAAGAGAAGTTATTTTTTGATCAAAATTCATTTCTTGATACACAAAAACATGTTTACTGTTATGTGCTTTATAAGAAGTTTTTAACATCCAAATTGAATCAAGTAAACAATAGACAAATTCATTTCCATTGAAAGTCGCTAATAAATAACCTGAACGAAACATTGACTCATTTTCTAAAAAGGACAAACGTGGAAAGGAAGACATTCTTTGATCTTGTTTTTATCTCAATAAAAATATTGTTACTTACAAAGCAAACAAAAATGCTTCAAAAACCTATTTTATATTTAAATAATAAATATAACATTATTGGTGTTTTACAGTCTATTGTGTATGTTTATTGATAATAAAAGAAAACTTTTTTGAAAAAATTACAATTATTTATTTAAATTGCATGAAATTTTGATATTTAGTAAGTTTTAAATATAATTTTAGATACAAATTTACAGAAATGGACAAAAGTTACAAAAACAATTCAAAATTTGTAATATTTTAGTTAAAATAGTATCAAAAGAATGTTTATTTTTTTAAAAAAATAGCAAATAGAGTCCGTCTTTTAATGTTGTCCTTTCTTTAAATGTTGTCCCTTTTGCTAAAATACACAAAAACGTATAAATAATTGGGAATTAAATAATAAATCATAAAAACGGTAAAAAACCCCAAAACATTAATTTTCTCGCGTTTAGTAAGTTATCTTGAAATAGTCATGTTATTAAAATCTTAAAATGGAGGGACAACGTTTAGAAAATGACTCTATTATAGAGATATAAACTTCAAAAGACGTTTTGTAAATGCGAAAATGAAGGCTCAAATCTTAAAATTGAAGTTTTTATACCATTTTAAAAACAACTTAAAATATCAAATACATATCGATGGCCGACCGTGATAAGTCGTTTGCAGTGTTATTTTTTTATACGTTTTATCAAAATGACTTAAATAACACGTAGAGGTGATCAGTTAAAGATGTTATTAGATTGAAAAATACCATTTAAAGTATATAAAAACAACAAATAAATATCACGTTTAGGTACAAAACCAATACATTTTAATCATACATAATATCTTAATGAAAATTGACAAATAACTTATGGCAGCCTATTTGCTAAATATGCTGCTGAAAGCGAATTGCAGGAAGTCTTGTTCACCTTATACGAATAAAATGAACAAAATACTGAATAAAAAGACGACTGACTTGATAGTTTAAGTTGATCAATTGACTAACAAAATAATGAAAAAAAAACAAAAAGGAAATAGACTTATAACTTAAATACAATTCGCTTTCATTTTCTTTAAAACAGTCTTCAGTCGCCTTTCAAATTGTCCTCTGTATTGTGCAACAACAATCAGGGCACCCATATCAAGTTCGATGAGTTTGTAAATTTTTTTACTTTTGGCTGCAACAAACCCTTCCAAATAGCTGTCTTATCAACACCAGGCTCAATAATCAAGACGGGGTTGTTATTTGTCCATCGTGACAAATTTTGAATGTTCTATCATTGAGAGAGCAACTTAATTTTGAAAGAATTACCACCCAACAAGCTAAAGTCCAGAAAAAGAAATGTGTGGAAAAAAATCAAGAAGTGATGTAAAATAAATACGAATTTGGTGAATATAAAGAACAAATGGAAAGTTTGTTAAATTGTTAACTGCTCAAAAGGTTGATTTACAGAAAATATTTGAAAAGAAAAGAGTAATGAAACATAAGTTTACAAAGAAACCTTAAGACTTGGAGCCAAAGTTACACGTCAGAAGCTA